CAATGAACAGTCTTCCTCTTCAGTTCAAAATTCAAGTTAGGTTTGGATTCTATTTAGATTATGATTTTTGGTTGAGTAACCTAGACTTGTTAAATATGGGTGAATAAGTAGGAACTTATGTAGTTTTGCTTGATTAGAAGTTATATTTATGCAATGTTATATTTCTATGTTAATATGATGTTTATGCGTGCCTAAAATGCTGAGAGATGGTGAGAAACCTTAAGAGTATGGCTTTGGAATCTTGATCTCACAAGTATAACAACTTGATCATCTTGATAATAACTGAAGATAAAGATTTCACATAATTGTGTTGTCATCATCAAAACCATTGAGTTTATCTAATTGCTTTATACATTGTATCTATAAGAACATAGATCTGCATTAGTATCATTTGAATTGTAGTCGGTGTGACTACTGTAATCCCCCAATTTTAGTAAATTATTTTATTTAATTTAATTATAATTTTTCACATTTATTTGATTATTATGTGTGGGTGATTATATGAATGGGGATGGGAGAAAGGGTGTTTAACCTTGTAGTAGGGTGTGTAGGGTAATTATGGAAAGATGAAATAAATTAGAATTATTTTATTATTTAAAGTAATGATTTGATTTTCTTTATTTAAATAAAATTAATAGATAAAAGGAAAATAGAAGTTGTAGAGATATTAAGAGCAAGGTGGGGATTATAGAGAAAATTAAGGGCAAAGTAGGAACATCCTAATTAAGAGATTAAGTTTTAAGTGTAAACAGAGAATTAGAAGGAGGGAGTTGAGCAGTACGTAGAATTTTTGGGAGAATAGAGGAAAAGGAGGTTAGGGTAAGAGGAAGGGCAAGATAATACATATGAAGAGCCCCCATTGATAGATCTAGGAAGCATCTTGCTAAAAAAAATAAGGTAAGGGAAGAATAACTTTCAATAAGGGTTTATGCATGAGTGGTATTGTAGAGGAGTCCTTAACCTCCAATAGGATGTATGTTGAGGATGAATTTTGATTAGATGTGATGTGTGATGAGAATTTTCTAATTACGGATGAATTTTGTACACTATTCATGATTGATTTTTTGTTTTAATACTTTATTGTGTTCCACCATTGTTGCACCTTCAAACGTTTAGAGGTGAGAATAACTGATAAATAAATGTGTTAATTGTTGAATTGGCATGTTAATTAGTATAATTAGGATCTAATAATAGTGGGTTGTTAATTTGAGGAAATAGATGCTAGAAATAAGTTATTTTTGTATTAAGAAGTGTTTTGATGGTTTTATAAGGTTAAATAATTCTTTATGTGCGTCAAAATATGAATTTTTGCTAAAACATATAATATGTGTTGACCTATACGAGTTATGTGTTGACACATAGCTACCATAACTGATAATTTTGAAAAATATTCAGTATGTGTCTGTAGAGGCGGGGGAAGAATATATAGAATCTTCTCATGGAGATGTTGAATTCTTCTGGCTTCCTTTTATATTCTTCTATACTTTTTAGCTATGTTACGTTAACTTTCTCAAATAGTAAATGAAATTCTGGCAACAGATACTTAATGTCACAGTGAATGTTATGACACCGTATCTGACAAATTGTACACAAACCAAACAGTAATTTAAAAGACAGTAAAGAACACAACCAATTGTTAACCCAGTTCAGTGTATAACAACACCTACATCTGGGGGCTACCAAGCCAGGGAAGAAATTCACTATAAGAGGTATTAATTTAGGAATAAACCAACCAGTTTATCTCCTTCACTTAAGACCTACCCAATGCAACTTCAATCTAAGTCCTACTTAAACCTGAGTTCCTACTCACTCCCCCTCAATCACAGCAGTGATACTAATCTACTGATTAATAAGATTATGAAGACATTCTTCAATACCCACGCTTGATTTTGCTTCAAAGATTTAATCAAGAGACACAACACTCATGCTTCAAAGCTTTGAGTGATAAACAACCCTTACAACCAAATCCTACTCCAAGTCACTTATCAAGTGATAATTTCTTGGCTCACAGTAATTACTAAAGCTATCACAACTACAACATGCCTTATTGATCTTCTCTGAAAAGTGCTGCACACCATTAGGATTCGTGAGAAATATATATGCAGTCTATTCTTCATTTTGGGCTTCCATAAAAATAGCTAGGGTTAACCAAAGTTAACCTAAAGACTTGGTCTTGGGCTTTCATTATAAAAGATTAGGGTTAAGCAAGGTTAACCTAATATCCACGTGAGCATCTGATCTAGTCAATATACTTCAACTCAAAATAGCACACCAGATTCCTGAAAATTCTCAGGAACAATAAATCTGCACAATAACTTGATCAGTACAGGATGTCTTAACATTGGTTATGACATCATGTATCCTGCTCACTGATTTTGGTAGAATTCAGTACATATGATCATAGCTTAATCATCATGATATTCACTCATACTGAGTTGTTCCTGTAGAACATTCCTTCTGCAGAATTTGTCTTTATCCCAGAATGTTATGACATCAGTCATGACATTCGCAAATCTGGTTTTACCAAAAATTTATACCAACAAGCAAACACTTACAAACTCCCCCTTTGGCAAATTTTTGGCTAAAACCCCTAATCAATCAGATGCAGATGAAACTATCAGAGATCAAAATGCAGCAGAATTTTTAATAACAGCTAATCTAACTACCAATATCCAATTCTACCAAAATTACCACAATTACTTCTCCCCCTTTTTAGCCATAAAGAGGCCAAAGGATCTAGTACTTCAAGTTATACAGTCATCAAAAGGAAATCCAAAATACACAGAAACAGAGAGAAGGTATCAAATAGCAGCAGCAAGTTCCAGCATCAATCTTTACAACTCAGCAAACAAAGACCTTCAGGTACTGTCATCCCCTGAGGAAGCACTATTTTCAGCAGCATCTTCTGGTGAGCTTCTTGCAGAACCATCACGCTGTTCTTCATCAGCATCCTCTTCCCTCATTTGTTCTTCATTCTCCTCCTGTTCCAGACTAGTAATCAGCTCTTCAAGAGTCTTTTTTCTTGCATCAAGCTCTCTGCAGGTTTCTTTTAGAACAGCTATAACATCAGCTTTCTTGGAATGAGCTTTGACATTTGATGTCTCAGCATATGTCAGGGACATGTGTTCTGTAACACCCCTTCTAAAATACCCCGAATAATATTAATTATATCAATGATTAAAGACATATTCCATCAGAGTTAACACGGAACAAGAGATGTCACAATTATGAAATAAATAAAACTTCCAATAAAACAGTAGTCATGCTACACTGAGGGTCATTATTCAAATAATTCAATCAAGTTAAGACCATGTCTTACACAGCGGAAAAATACCATAACCAAAACGGAATAAACCAAAACATAATTATTCCCAATGAAATTTAAAGAAACAATTGAATAATAACTAATTCCTCAACTAAACGTTCCCCAGTGTTACAACCTATCAGAGCACGACACTGACACGCGGACTTAAAGTAACATAGATTTAGAGCCATCCTCACCAACTCCTGATCTGCTAACTTTAATCTGAAATTGTTAAAGTAAGGGTGATATTTCTCATAATTAACATGCATTATAAGCTTCTCAATCAACATTATATCACAAGCATATTATTTCACCCATTTT